GGGGCGCCGTCCACTCCGCCCCTCAAGCCCCACAAACCCCGGTGCCTCCTCCTCCCAAAACAGAACAGCCTACGCCTCCAGGGGGCCCACTCCCTGCAGGACCCAGTGCACACTGACGGGCCACCGGGAGCCCCCGGACGTGCCCAGGGTCCTGCAAAGTTCCCCTTCGACCTCCGGCTGCGTCGGCTCAGCCAGCCGGGGCCCCTGAGCCCAGCTCCTATGTCCCCTCCTCCATGAAGCCCGCCCTGCGCCCCACCCCCCACAGGCCCCAAGGGCTGGACATGTTCTGGACACAGACTGTGTCGCCCTGAGGCGGGAGGGCCGCACAGACACCTGAACCGGGGCTTTTGGGCCAAATTAGCCACTTGCCTGCTTGGGCCTGAGGAGTGTCTCCGGGCCAGCTAACCTGAAGGCCAGCTCTGCCCAGGGGTAAACATAGCTCCTGGCCGGGCGCACTTCCTGCCCTCGGGGGAAACAGTTCCTCCAGCACAGCTGGAGGCCGAGGCCCGGGCCCAGGGGGCACCTTCTCCCTTCTCAGGCCTGAGCCTGGGCTGATGTGAATCTGCGTTTGTCTAAGGCGCCTTGGGGTGGCGGGAAGTTTGCCTCGAGGAGGGAGCCTTCCTTAATGATTTGGCCCCAGAGTTCTCTGTCCCCTCGAGGTGCCCTGGCCTCGGGCAGGCCCAGCGGCTGTGCCTGGGGTCACGTCTCCTGAGTTGAGGGAACCAGGGAGCCCTGTTCAGGCCCCGAGAGCAGATGCCCCCACAGGCCTGTCAGTCACCCTCTGGCTGTGTCTGGAGATGCCAGTGTGTGCCTCCCACATCCACTCCAGGGCCTGAGGCTGGTGTGGCTGGGCCGACCCTGCCATCTCAGGGGAAGCAGCCCTGGGCGCCCCCTGTCCCTTCCTTCCTGGCCACAGCTGCCCCCCTGTCCTTAGAGAAACAGCGCCAGGAGTCCGCACGAGGCCACCGGTCCGTGCTGCTGGCCCTGCTGGGGTGGGACAGGTCCAGACAGTGTGCTGCAGCTGGGTCCCTCTGCTCCCGCCCAGGGCTGTGCCAGAGGTGCCAGAGGTGCCAGAGGTGGGAGGCACCACAGACCAAGGGCAGCAGAACCGGCCATGCACTGGGAGCTGCAGTCACCCTGCCTGCCCGTCCCCTGCAGGCTCCCCACCAGGCGGTCACTTGGCAGCTCTGTCCCAGGAGAGGCTCTGCCTGAGACACCGGGGCAGGGCAGGGAGGAGGCGCTGGGAGTGTGTCCTGGGCGGAGGACGTGGTGAGCTGGGCACAGCCGCAGGGTGTCCTGCCCCTCCTGAGCGGGGCTGCCGGCTCAATTCTGGTCAGGGCACATGCCCAGAATGTGGGTTCTATCCTCAGTAGGGGGTATGCAGGAGGCAGCCAATCAATGATTCTCTCTCATCATTGATGTTTCTATCTCTCTGACTCTTCCCTTCTGAAATACATAAAAATATATTTTTTAAAAAGCTGTGGTACCTCTGCTCTCACCCCCGGCCCCGCCCCGTGGGTCCTCAGCCTGTGTCCAGGTGCCCTCGCTCGAGGCTCTTCTAGGCTCTGAGCCACCGACTGACCTGACGCCCCTGCCTGGCTTCCAGCAGCCTCCCTGTTGTCTCTGACTCCTGCGTCTGCCTCCCTGCATCTCGTCTCGCACGTTCTGGGGCACTTCTCTCTCTCTCTCTCTCTCTCTCTCTCTCTCGCTCTCTCTCTCTCTCTCTGTCTCTCTCTCTGTTTCTGCTCTGTATCTCCTCTCTCCGGCTCCATCCCAGTCCCTGCTTCTCTGGGTTCACCCCCTCTCGACCGTTTCCGGGTTTTTCCTGCAGGTTCCTCTGTCTGGGGCTCCAGTCTGTCCCCCTCGGAATATTCCTGGTCTCTGTCTGTCTCTGTCCCTCTGTATGTTTCGTTGTCACCCGGGCCCCGGGCCGGGAAACAGACAAACCCAGTCTCACCCAGAGGCCAGCGCAGCCCCACCCCAGCGCCAGGACAGCAACGTCCGAATGTCTGGGAGCACTGGGCAGCCAGGACACCCCAGCGCCACCCCCTCCGCAGCTCCCACACCCTCAGGGGCGCCCCTGCCGCCGCAGGGGAAACTCTGGGTGACACCACACAGAGGGCGTGCGGCTGGCAGGCACCCAGCTAATTGCAGCCCTGTCGACAGCCAAATCAGAGCCTTGGTTTTCCTGCGAGCCCACCTCAGGGCCTGAATTAGCGCCTAATTAATTATCTGTAACAGCCTGCAGTGCCGGGTGGGACGCGGGCCTCCCGGTGCCAGGAGGCTGCCGGCCCTGAATCCCGTCCCGGTGACGTAATCATTATAATTAGACGCAACCTGAAGCCTGTCTATCCTTGACCATGGGGGCCAGGCCCGCTGTCTGCTCATGTCATTTCTCCAGGAGACAAGCCACATGTGAGCCCGTCCTGTGGGCAGGGGCACCGGCCCCTCCATGCAGCCCCCGGTCCCTGACGGCAGTGCCCACCTCCGGCCAAGCTCCCGACCCCCTGACACAGCAGCAGCACCCAAGGCCACGCAGTGGACGGCATCAGGCCAGGGTGGGGCCAAGGACGATGCCCAAGCAGCTCTGTCACGGCCACCAGAGCTGGGCCAGGCTCCCATCATGGGAGACGGGGCAGGAGCACGGGAAGGCCCCCGCCTGGCTGACCAGAGCACCCCTGCTCTGTGCCCATGTGGACCGTGCCCCGCTCTTCACCCACCTCTTGGGCCGGGTCTCCGGCCATGAGGATGCCTGGAGCCCACTAGGCACAGGATGCCCTTCACATGGGAGTCAGCAGGTTGAGGGAGTCCCCTCCCCCAAACACAGGGGGTCTCACTGCCTCATGGAGGGGCCGGCTCACCGCTGTCCGGGACACATCCCTCGTTGTGCTCAGCCAGCCCCGTCCCCTGTGTCGCCTGCGGCCCCCACCCCAGGCCCAGCTGCTGTGGCCCTGCTCCCCGAGGGCCACCCACCCTGCAGGGGAATTGTCCCTCGTGCCCCTGAATCCCTCCCTGGGGTGTCCCCACGCCCAAGGGGGCGCTACTGCTTGCTCAGCCTTGACCCCTGCAGCACCCTGGCCGCCGAGTGTGCGCCTGCCACCTGCTGGGTGCACCGTCCCCCTCCTACCTCCCAGGGCCTGTTTCATCACGAACTCCATGGCACCGGCTTCGATTCCTCAGTGGCAGCTCAAAGGGTCCCAACTCACACTCAAGTGTGGCCGCGAGTCCTGGGCCTGGAAGAGAGGAGCCGGTCACAGGCCACCAGCCCACCTGCGGGCTTCCTCCTCGT